CTGGGTTAGGATACAGAATAGGCCAGTGTGCAATCATTATCCTCTTCCTCTCTTAACAGGAATAAAAGCCCAAACAAGCGAGGAATAGGTCTGCCTCTTGAAAAGATAGAACAGGGCTATCGGTGACTGGCTGGCTCAGCATTTGAGTTGATCTATCCAGCAAGCATTTCTGTTGCAAATGAAGCACTTAGCACAGTTGTGATTTTAAAAATAGCTGCCTCTAACTTGGCAATTAACATATCTCAACAGTTACCCTCTCGCTCGCTCTCCCTCTTACACACACAACTTTGCAGTTGCTTGGTGATCTATATTTATTCTGAGTTGATTTATTTTTGTGAAATACTCAGTTTTTCTAAGAGGAACATGCTAGATATTAGTCACGTACCAAGAAGATTCCTTAGGGTTTGATGTGAAAGAGACAATTTAAGTACAAATTAAATTCTGCTGCCCAAGAATGTAGGGAAAGGTTTGACTAAAAGGTCAGTACTATGTTAGCTCTCCTCATACTCCTTTCAGTTTTTCTTCCTAGCCAAGTTTTGAAAGACTTTCAAGGAAGCCATGGAACAAAGAAGGATGAATAGATACTTTACTCATTCCCAAATGGTGGATTTGAACTGTTAGCCTCAGAGAGTGTAGCCTTCAATGCTTTCTTTGTACCATTCTGGAAGGAACCTTCATGTTAAATTATCTGTGTTCTGTTCATTACTTGGTGTTTGAAGGCATCCAAATATTGGATATATAATATAACCTAGGGTTCCCATAGGATGGAAATGACTAATTGACCCAAATGAAGCAGCTTGCCTTGCATTGGCCTCTTTTATAGAAGCATAAGTAAATGTGAGAGCTTAGAGACTTTCTAGTTTATTAGTGATGAAATATTTATAAACCTTGCTATGGACCTGACGATTGATTCAGAGGAGAATGCAGTGATCCAAGAGGGCCTGGGGCAGCTTTATGGTGGGCAGGTTTTGAGTCCTATGGCTAAGGTGGTACTTAAGAAGGTTGTGCTAAAGCAGACCAGGATTCCTAGGCTTGTTTCACAAAAGATGTTTGACTGGGCTTGGTTCAGCAGGTTTTGTGAACCAGATCAACATATTGTGGCTTCTTGAGGCACAGCAAGTTACGCAAACCTAATATGTATTTCTCTTAGTCCACGTTTAGGATTTAATTTGTTGTATGAACCCATCGTGATAGTCTGTAATATATGTTGCGTAATGTTTAGTATTCAGAATATAACTGATCTATGCCACAATAATATATGAAGGATTAGGGTAGATTAAATATAGAATGCATTCCTGAAATCTATAAAAAATGTGCTACTTTTTGGAAGAGGATCTATATCGTTAGCATAACTGAGTTACTTTGAAAAATACAAAAGTATTTGCTGTCAGATAGTTCAGATACTTTGCTCATACTGGATTTTAGAAATAGAGCCTCCTGAGTGTATGGCTGCTAAAGTTCAAACTGGGTGGCCATTTAGAAACATTTATTTATTTATGAACTACACTTGCATGCACCTGCTTCTGGTGGCTCTAGGAAACTACCAATACATGGTTTTAAAACCCTAAATGGCAAAAACATGCAGAAACAGAATCCATATAAACAAATCAATACTAATTTCAGATTTTGAATTTCTTTGCTACTATTGCCCATTTAGAAAAACCTTCAAGGTAGAATATAATCCGATGGAATATTTGCCTGGTTTGGGAAAGAATCAGAGATAGTACTAAAAGATATTTGGTGTTTTTAAAACTGCGTTTAAAATCAACTGACATATGAACCTGCTTCCTGTGGCACCGATATCTGAAACTTCCCATGTAGTTTTATAAATTGTTGCTGGAAGAAATTCTTTTGCTATGTCCATTACAGATATGCCAATATATATACCGGTAGTACTGCAGCCATTCCGGATTGGGCAGCGGATTGATCCTAATCTAATAATTGCAAAGGAAATAGAATTAAGGGATGTTGGAGAAATGTGGATGGCATGGCCAGTATGAAATGAGAATTATAGTAATTAATTTTGCTCTGGCCTTCCTCAAACTTTAGTATTAATAGGAAAAGGAAAAAATCTGTAGAGGAGTCCTTTGGATCTAGAAAATTAGACCATATTTAGAGCCTCTACTCTCAGACTCTGTAAATAAGTAAATCAAGACAATGTATACTTTTTTGGCAGATAGAAATACGTCACATTTTGGGGCCCCAAAGCAATTCAGTCAGAGCCAGTTTGCTATGGTGATGAAGGGAACAGACTAGAAATCAGGAGACCTTGAGTTCTAGTTCTATTTTAGGCATAAAACCAGCTGGAAGATCTTGAGCCAGTCAATCTCTTAGTGCTGGAATGAAAGCAACAGCAAGCCACTTCTGAAATCTTGACAAAAAACTGCAGGGACTGGTCCAGGCAGTTGTCAGGAGCCAACAGATTCAAAGGTACATAAAACATCCATAATTTAGCAATTATGCATGGCGCAGGCTATTTCCCAGAGCTCAACTGCATTTACTGAGGAAGTTGCATATTGCGTATTCAAAGTTCTCTTGATGTACTGAACTGTAAAAAGACTTTTCTGTCAAGAGGAGATACTGTGATATTGTCCCCTAGTGGAGAGATTTGGAGCTTTTCCTTCAGGCGGTATATGGATTTCACTGTAATGCTTCTTTTATGCATTTATACACATTTGAAGATTAGGTAGAATGTCCCAAAGGTGCTTTTTCAAGAGGCAACTGGACTTTCTCGCTTCTCATTCAAGAAGCTTCTTCAGAGTCAGAGCTGAAGAAGCTTCTTGGATGAGAAGCAAAATCTTTTCCAAGAAAAAACAAGTCAGTTGCCTCTTGAAAAAGCACCTTTGGGACAAGCATGGCCTGGGTGACTGAGAATCTCCATAGACATTATGGTGGTGTGATTTCCAGCCAATGTTTACTTTGAAGAGATTTTTCACAATTGGATTTTATTCTTTGAACTGAGTAACCAAGGCAATGAGCTATACACTCTCAAAGGCTAGCATCCATCAAGTTAGGCATTTTTTTTTTAACATGTCTAGTCCAAAGGGTTTGCCCTCAATGTTGTATGGAAATGGGGAAAGCAAGAATTATTTATAAAAGTATTTATAATATAGTACTTCTTAAGTCTTTTATTGAGCTCTGCAGAAATGTTTGCTCCAGAAGGGAAGTAGTATGATGAAAATGTAGTGCATATTTAAACTTTGGCTTAAACCAAGTTTATTCTAGAGCTATGGCCACCTTGTGGAAACAACTCCTAGCAACAAAGTCATTTGTAATTTCTAAACAACGGTATCTATTGTGATATCAATATACCGGATATTTTCGCAATATAATGAAGATATTGTTTAATTTTGTTCCATTTAGTCTTTACTTTCAAGTTACTGTTATACCAATAAGAGAGAAATTTTCCTAGCTTTCTTTTTTTTTCTTAAACAGCAAATCTTAAACAGATTTGAAAATACTGAGAATTTGGTACAGCTTTAGAATCCATATCCAAAGCTACTTTAGAAAATAAAAGTCTAAATTAAGGTCTATTAATGCATGTGTTCTCTGTATTGCTTTTGTATTCATAGAATCAATCTTTTTCATATTCTTATATTCTTTGCTACCAACATTTGTTCAATCAATGCAATTGACCATTAAGGGCAGAAAACAATAAAGCCTTTTCCTATTTTAGCCCAAATCCACAGATCGAGTTATTAAGTGCATTTTATTCCTTTGTCTATACTGTACAGGGGTTCCCAACCCCGGTCTGTAGCATACCAGCAGGCTGGCCACACAAACAAGCAAAACTGCATCCTCAGGATGCAGGCAGTATTCAAAACCGCACCCCCTTTGGTCCGTGGAAAAATATTTCTCCATGGCACTGGTCCCTGGTGCCCAAAAGGTTGGGGACCTCTGCTGTACATGGTATAAGGCCCCCTGATGGCCAGTAGGCATATGAGAAAGTGGTACCTAAATATAGTTAGGCCTTCCTATTCAGAATTGTCCTCCCTTACCCTCCCTTGATGTGGGGTAAGATTGATGCGCTTTGAGGGACAGGATAGGAGATGACATCCATTTGATAAGTTCATTTGGACCAGAGATCCTATATGCTGCATTTTACTATCTAAAAATCCTGGGAAGAAAAATCCTCTTCTGGATGCATTTAACCAGGTCTAATGGATACACTTGTTGGTTTTTCCTTACCAGGCCACACTACATTGGTACGGAGGCCGGTGTGCTACCAGTTGGCTTTTTTGTGCTGGCTGTGATAGTCTTGATGTGGTTAAAAGCTTTCATTTTAGGATGATAATTCATCTTTTTGCAGGAACCACCAGAAGAAAAATGGTGGTATTTTTTCAAGGTAAGTGCAGGGTAATGAAAGGAGATGAGTCTCAACTGGATTCAAAGCAGAAACAAGTGAGAAGAGTCTTTGAGACCAACTAACGATGAGTGAAAGATTCAAATACAGACCTCTAAACACCACCCCCCCAAAAAAATGTTTGAAACATAGAATGTGGAATTGTTAATCTTATTTTAACACCAAAGGCATCAGCCTATAGTAGTAAAAGAAGCCTTCCCTATGTCACAATGCAGCATTAACTTTAATTTTCTCTTTACCAGGGACACTATCAACAACAGGTCATTCAACTAACTATGTGATTGCTGTAGAAATACCTACCAGTAAATCTCAGAGGCACTGGATTAAACGGGGAGTTGCCTTGATTTGTGCCTTGGACTTCTAGGCACTAACAATAAAAGAGCAGTCCAATAAAGCCTGATCTGAAGAAAGCACAGAACTGGCTAAAATGAGACAAATAACTACAAGGACTTAAATAAATATACATAGCATGTATGTTTTCATTTAATTTAAATTTACATTAAAATCATTTTTTTAAATTTCACAAATGACTGCATGGTACTGTTTTTTTTAAATATAACCCATTCAGTTCTTTTTTAATGTAGCCTATAAATTGCAATCAACTACAAGGAAAAGAATAAGTACACATTATACACGATTAAGGTGTATAATAATAAAATTTATGTTGTGTTATATTTAAGCTACCATAGATCTCAGAGATGATCTTACAGCACTAATTTAATATGTTCCTGGCAAAATTATTCTCAGTCTCCACAGCAGATCCCAAATATTACAAAATTAGGTACTGCAGTTAAGAACACAAGGTTGACATATAGCATAGTGTAATGTTTTCTCAGGTGTATAGAATAGCCATGCCGAGTTATTTCTTATTCAGAAATGTTACCCTAATTCCAATTCACTACAGAGCTATTGGTACATCTTTTCTGGTGTATGGATTCCATTATCACCATTTCCAGAAGGCTAGAGATACATTTTGTTTTTAACAGAACTGATATTTACAGTACTTGACAATTCAAAAGACAGTTGATTCTGTCAACAAATAAAAAATAGTAATTCTACAGTCAGGCACTGTACATATTTGCAAAGAAAGCAAATATATTTCACCACCTTCTCAGGAACTATTCCCTTTTCCCTTTGATCTTTTGAATCTCATGATGATTTTAATATCTATACTAAGAGACTCAACTGTACATATTCATGGAATAAAAGTTGCAGAGGAAGCATTATACTGTTCTTCCAAAAACAATTTGCAAGATTCCTCTGGCCATTAGCTAGCATAATTTAATGCAAATTTGCTATCATTCTGCCAAAAGCTTAAAAACATTTATAAATCTGCTGTATTGACAAAGGACTGTTCTTACAGGACAAAGGTAAAGCCATATAACTAAGGAGAAGCTGGCAACACTTGTCTTAGGACTGGGTAGATAGATAACCGATTACACTGCAATTAGAGACTGTAAATGGACTGGAATGAGAGGTGCAGATTGACAGGATTGTCATGATGTGATACAAAGATGCTGAGGGCAGCTCTGGAAGACAAAACCAGATCCTGCTGGCCAAATATCATCTATACTCTTGCAGAGTAATAAGCCAGATGCTCTAACCATAATCAATAGGAAAGGAATACCATTTATTCAGTAATGCAAAATTATTACTGTGTGCCCTATCTTGTCAGAGGACTTACAATCTGCACAGGTTCACCATCCCTGCAAGCTTTGAAGTGAGCTGGAAGGGCTCCAAGCAAACATGACTACATTCCTACAATACAGAGACACATCCTTTGTTGTCTTGCCATCCCAACATAGGGCCTCCAGTCATTTCTGCTCTACATTTCCCCTGTCCTTACACTATAGACAACTACAAAGCTCACCGTTCCACTGCTTGACTGTAAGATTACATTATGTACAGGAATTATTTTCCTATAGAATCTTTCCATTTTCCCCTGAAATGTAAGCATGAACAAAGCCAAACAATGATTCATATCCCATTGAAGCACTTTATCCCGATCTCTCTCAAAATGTTGGTCCTAACAATTCACTACAAAAAAAGGATTGGGGTGGTGGTGTGTATCGTTCAGTATTTTCATTTAGCAATTTGTATCACCCAGCCACTTTGTCTCTCCACACGTGGTTTAATTTCCTAAAAATGGTTTTACTCAGCAGAATTTGAGTAAAAGGAAGCAACTGCCAAAGAAAATCTAAAAATAAGTTAATTTCACAGTTTGAATTATGGTGTGTGCATAGCTTCCATACATATAAAAGAAAAGAAAATAGCTTCCAGACTACATGCTGTTACACATGAACAAAAATACCTTCACACAAAAAGATCTTACTCTGGACACACAAAACTCATAAAGAAAATGTTCCTCTCTGCTTCAGCACCAGTTGGGGGGGAAAATATCAAGAGAAAAATTTGCAGGACTTGAAGACCAGTTGCAAGGGAGCCTGAAGTATAGTTCAACAGCTACCTGAAAATTATAGTGATGAACTTGATACACTTAAAGAGGTAAGGCAGATATCTGTTCCCCTGGAAAATAAAGCAAAAATCAGGATATAGCTAATTCTGACTCTCTCTGAACTAAACAATGCATCAACTTAACTGAAATGCACTTCTGCAAAACTGCAAAGATTTTACTTATTTCTTTTTAAGCAATGTTCACGTAACACCTCTGAAGACCACCATTTACTACTGCAAGATGCATGGCCTATTGGTCTAGGTTGCTAAGTAACATATTCAAGTGCAGTGTCAGTCACTCAAGTGGTCCTGTTTCTTCTCACATCCCCTCTGGAGGGAAAATTTATCTTTGAATGCCCAAATGGTAAACCACTGGAGCAATGTCTAAAATCCAGTTGAATACAGGTAGACTTAGTCACACTAATACTGATCACGTGCAGACAATTTCAGTGCAAAGCTCTGTCCTGAGCACTCTCTGGTTGGTGAAGAAGTACATGAAATATGCACCACATTATCAAAGAGGCAATCAGAAGATACTGAGTTCTGTCCAAAACACTATTGACGTTTAGCTTTATAAGGCCTGGAACGTTTCCGTCGATCCGGCTTTCGCTGCTTGTGGAGACGCCCAATGCTGACCCCTTGCCGTCTACGAACAGAGATGTTTTGTTCAACAAGGCTAGGCAACATTCCTGCAAAAAGACAAGTGTGTATGGTTAAGTCAAATAGAAGCAAATCTTGCTTCCCTTTCAACATTTCAAAATATAGAAGTCCTCCAGAGGATTGCATTCCTGTTATGGAAACAGAAAAAAGGGATCATACAACTCCTTAACCAGATTTATTGCGGCATTAAACTTTTATGGAATAAACCTTTCTCAGCTCAAATTCTCTAATGGTTATGTTTTAATAAATATTAATTTTGAAGTGCCAAAAGATTCCTTTCTTATGGACTTTTCCTACTAGTTAGCAACAAATATCTGGGAAATGTTATACCAGTGCAGAAGGCTTGCAGGTTTAAGATTCATCACATTTATAGATATAAAAGATTCCAGATCAATAGGAAATCACAATATACTATAGCCAGAATCCTAAACATACATATTTGGATTTAAATTTTAATGGAAGCAGGTGGAAAAAATTGTATTTACCAATCAAAATCTATATTACTCACAAGACTAATCATAATCTCACTTTTAAGCTATTTTTTAAAAATGTTAACTTGTAAGATAGTTTTATTTGGATTATTCGTAGAAAACATGCTCTACTGATAATCCTCATTTAAGAGTAGTTAATGGAATTTTTTATGGGGAAAATTATTATTTTATCATTATCGCTAAAGCTGAACTGACTGATTTCTGAATGCCTTTTAAAGTGTATTTAACTTACACACTTGTCTGATTCTCTAGTACTGATGCTATATTACCACCTCCAAAATTTTCTATTCACTCATTTTTATAAATGACTATAAAAACTAAAGCAGAAGATGACGATTTAGAATCCAAACCATAAACTCCTTTAACCTGGGCCTATCTAATTATCGCTGTGCTTTAGTTTGATAGTTTCAAACTTTCAACACTATATGTTACAGCTATCACTATTTCATTATTTGGAATTTAGCAAGATGTCAAGATTTATGAACACTGATACACGAGAAAGACAGATTATAAATACTCTTCATGTAGCTATTTGTACTAGAAAAATAAATCTACCTCTATTTGGAGCCAAAGGTTGCTGGTTTGTGCTGTTTATCAACATCTGAATTTATCCTTTTCTAATACAGTGCAAAGAAAAAAGCTCTTTCAATCAAACTGCAGGCATTTTTCTTTTTTTCTGTATCATATTACATATACTGTTCATTCTATTGTTCATCAATATTTGTACTATATATTTTTCTTTTCACTATCAAAGTATCTTATGTCAATTAACATTAAAGTTAAATGTGTGTTTTTTATCAAAAATAAAATTCCTCTCACCTTCTTGTGCCAACATGGAGATAAAAGTACATATAAATTCATCATAATTGTGAGTTCTTCTCTGATCATCAATCTAAAACAGTTAGAAAAGGGGAAACAAAGTATCTATTCAACAGCAGTATTGAAACAAATAAGAGAAAAAAATTCCATCACTTACCTTTTGGCTAGAGAACAAGATTCAAGACCATTAAAAAATTCTATAGCATTCCAAAACTGAGTCTCATAATAAACTAAACCAAAAAGACCATGTTTTCATGTTCTCATGTTCCAGCCTCAGGTAAGAAGCTTAAATGTTGTAATCCATATTTAGGAGGGCTAATAAGAAAACACAGTAATTCAGACTTTGCTGGACTAAGACTTCTAATTCGTTTTCATGTTAGAATATTAGGTCAATCTACCAAGACATATCTTGAACTGAATCAACGATTTGACTGATGCTGAAAAAGCCTGAGCAGGCTCAGATCTGCCTGGAACCTGAATAGGAGACTACCAGAACTGGGCTGGGAGTCAAAAACACATCCTGGAAAAGCTAACTGCTTCTATGAAAACTACATGAATTTGTCTATTCTCTCCGATTCAAGAACTGAATCGGAGAGAATAATTATCTTCTTATCAAATATTAACAGCTTTTATCATTTGGTATTTGTATTTGTAAGCACCAAGAGTCTATAAAAGGGATGGCTATAAAAATAATAACAAAAATAACAACACAATACTCTCTATTAGCTACCTTGAATTTCTTTCTTTTCTCTACTTCCTCCTTTAAACAGGCCTCATAATTTGCAATTTCAGCCTCCACACACTTAAGCAATGCCAGGAGCTCCTGTCAAAACAAAACAGTAGCAGTATAAGCAGAATGCCTCACTAATGCTAATGGCACAGCAGTACCTCATAATTAGCTTAAAGCACTAGCAATATCTCAGTATAACTTTATTTTAAGAGTAGAACAATCTCTAATCTTTTTTTTTTTTTTAAAGCTTCTACAATCCCAAAGTACCAACAGGAACAACAACTAACTCAATAAATAAAGCAACACAAGTTGGGAAATTAAACAAAGGAGGAAAAATTAAACTACCTTGACGTAAGCATAAATGAAATAGTGCCTAAAAATTCTTGCAGCAAAAAATAAACATTTATCTTGATGCCATTTCAAATTTTCTATTTGGCATTTTTCTCAGGATGCATATTACTAGAGTATCTTCTTTGAAAGAACATTATTTTTGACAAAAAGTGTCTGGTGTAAGTTCTATGTATATAAATATTTATCTATTTATTAAATTTATATATCTGCCCATCTCACAAGATGTTACTTTGGATGACATAGAAAATAGCAATAAACATGTCAAACACAGTCAAATCAGACATACACACACACACACACCCCAATGGAACTACCTCAAGATTTCTTCAGTCCCCATCACCACCACCAAACAGGCCTAATGACAAAGCCAGCTCTTGAGGGATGTTCAGAAAATAAGGAAGGCTGGAGATGATCTCACTTCAAGGGGGAGGGGAGACTGTTCCATATAGTGGGCCTCAGGACAAAGAAGGGCCATCTCCTCTGGCCCGGTATAGTTTTTGGAGAGATGGCACTTGCAGGATACCTCTTCTTGATGGATCTGATGGGACAAGCAGCTGTAATCCAGGAGGGGTGATCCCTCAGATAACTTGGTGCCATGCCATGAAGGGCTTCAAAGGTCAAAATCAGCACCTTGGATTGGATGTAGAAGCAAACTGGCAACCAAGGTAGCTCACATTATTTCATTCACTGCTTTAAGGAAGAGGATATGTTGTGCTGGCCCCATCTTTCAATTTTATCCTTGTAATTTTCCTATAAGGTAAGCTAGGCTAAAGGACTGTGACTCTCCTAATCACTCAGCAATCTTAGTCCACACCCTACCTCAACAGGAATATTAAAACAGGAGTAAGGAATCTGTAGTTTTCAACAAGTCACTGTATAGCATTACACATTATCCCTGTGCACTAGCAATCCAAAGTAGGAATGGTAGAAAGTGGTGTTTGGCAACACTAGGCAGCTTCCTATCCCATTTCCTCCCTGAGCAGGGGGTTGGACTAGATGACCTCCAAGGTCCCTTCCAACTTTACTATTATTATTATTATTACTAAAAATCCAAAGTAAAGTAGAGTTATGTTATAAATATAATTCTACTGCTTTGTTTTAGTTTTGGTAGAATAAGGTAAACATAAAAAGAGCAACTTTGTTGTTGTTCATTCTTCTGCTTCAAGTATATTGGTATCAGAATAAATTCCTCAGAGGGCAACTATAAATATCAGATGAAAGGCCAGATCAAGACAAAAAGTCTTGGAGAAAAATAAAAATGTATGTCAAGAACAGTCTTCTCTCCATTCTTAATTTTGGTTTAAAGAGCTATCCCTATAATTCAGATCCCTCAGTACTGAGCTTTGTCATTCTTAAAAATAACAATCTTTTATTATTTTGTAAAAGATGCCTAGTCAACTACATTCAGAATTTTTTCTGCATGGGGTAGCATCAGAACATGGGATTAGCAGGGGGCTACACAAGCCTCATCTCTATAGCATTGCAAAAGCATAAAGACATATGGACTTCCCTTCTTCTGCATGACTCAAGCACTGAACTCAAGAGAGGCTGCTGTTAGCTATAATTATGTTTTACAATGGCGTGATCAGACTGATAAGGGATGACTTTGTCCCTCTGCCAAGTCCCCTTTCCATGCATTTTCTATGAGTTTCAGATAGACTCAAGAAAAAGAAGATTCCTGCCAAGTTTAATATCACATATTTTGAGCAACATCCAGCCAATGCAGCCAGGTCTAGGCAAATAACTCCCAAAAGTATTTTCTGCCATCACAGAATTGTTTTAAGTCAAAAATAACTTACTTTAGGAACATACTTTTCCCCAGCAGGGGGATCAGTAGACTGACCAATTCTAGCCTTCTCCTTGCTGTCACGTGGCTCATTAGAGTCCACTTCTTCTGCTTTTACACTAATTTGAACCTCTTCATTTGACTTGCTAGATGGAAGGGAGTTTTTTCCACCCTCTGGAAAATAAAAAAGTGGAATTATTAAACACAATGTTATCTACTTTTACATCTTGATTACTGTGGAGGAATAAATAATGGTATTTCTTAGCCAAACAATGCATGTTTCTAGCCAAAAGCGTGTAACAAACACATTTCATTTATAAATCAATGTTAGAAAAGTAGGTAACTCAGCAGAAAAAGAGCTCCCGTTCAGAGCACGCACTGAATTTTTCTGTCAGGAGTCTTCATAATTATGTGTCTTCTACATTATTTACAAAAACTCAGAGGCAAAGGGTATTTTCTCCAATTAGTTTATCCCTTGAATTCCCACGCATAATCAATTTTGAAAAGCAACAGCAGTCATACTTGGAAGCAAAGTGAAAAATGGTCCTAATTAGTTATCTTATCAACAGGCAATGCATGATTTAGACCAGAAATACGGCAATTATTTGAACCTTGGGCATGTTTGGAACACTGAGAACAGACAATAAATAGGTTCACAAAATATCTGTCCAAGAAACTTGCCTATACATAAGCAATGGTTGAAATATAGTTGGGCAATCAATCGCCAGAAATTGAGCAAGTCCCCAGAACACCATTAGCCTAGTTGAGTCCTTTACTATGCCCAAAGACAATGCAACAAATCAACATGATGCTCATCTTATCTACTGTCCTTTTTTTGTCACAAGCCCTCTTTGAGTACAAACAGCACAGGCCTTCCGATGCCTTAGGTGCTAACATGTTTAAGGTTGTAAATTAGGAGGTACAAAAAAAAAAATAACTGGAATCCAAATTTAAAAGCCCCTCAGCATTCAGTCTGTTACTATTCCTCTTGCTCATCACCAGAATCCTCCAAACAGACCCCCGCAAGTGCCCAACAAGCAAAGAAGAGGAACCACGTAAGAGTAAGAAAAAAAGTTAACTATTTTTTTTTTCTGTTGAACCATACCTGTGACAGTAAGAGGGCAGAAAACTCCCTCCTCTGTGAGGTGCAGCAAACCAGTACTGATGATGGGTCCCAAATCTCTCACAGCCCTGTTGTAGCGTATACAGTCTACACGGAGCAGGCTGTCTTCCTCCCCAAATAGCACCTTGGAGATATGAGAAGTGACAGGACTAGAAGGGCGAGTGGGATTAGCTGATCGGATGGGGGAGCGAAGAGGGGAATTGAAGGCACTTCCAATCTCTGAGGCAGTGTCCGTGCTTTCATTGCTGGGTGTGGGAGATGGTTGAGAGTGGGCAACAACAGCTACCGCCGTGCCTCCACTGCTGGTCTTAATAGACAAAGGAATGGAGAGGTCCTTTTGAGTTTCTTTCAGCTTTTCCGCCAGGACATTGATGGTGTTGGGCTGCAGCATAGACAGCTGGCTGTCTCCGCTCCCCATCAGGTGCTCCTGTTTCACCAGCCCCTTCCTCTTGTAACTGTCCACAACCACAGAAAGGAGAAAAATATGAGTGGTTATACTCAGCAGTAGCAATCAGAATGAGTGGAAAAGCTTACATTATATCCATTATGTTTTTATATGTCAACCTCAGTTTTAAAAAGGTAAATATTATGTAGCATTAAGAAAGAAAATGCTATCATAACATTGCAGTATTTATACATATGTTTATGTTAAATAAAAGCAGCTATATCTCTGTGATTTCATTTATATGTTTTTATAATGGCCAGTGCTGCTAAAATAGTTTGCTTGTTTTTTGTTTCTAATGTTTGAAGATCAAACATTCCATTATGAAAACAGTCCACAAATGTCATTCACTATCTCCAAGTTGAATGCCTACTGCCACTTCTCTTTCCTGCCAGGTATCAAATTCTCATGGAATTATTTTTTAAAAAATCATGTAATTATACTTCCAACATTTTTCAGATTAGACAACGGACAGTTCCTTGCTTCCGATACATACACAGCTCTCCAAACTGAGGATTTACAAATAGGATTGACCCACCCACATAAACCCTGCTCCGTACTAACACTCCAGGTAGAACCTCTCTTTCCACAAAGAAGTTGGGCCTCATCTCAAAGCTAAGATTTTAAAATAGCTTTCTTTCTCATGCAGCCCTATATAGTACCAGTATAAATACTAGAATATTTTTCAACGGCTGGAAGTAAGGAACTCTCAAATTTGACAAAGATGCAACTGCAGACGGAGTAACTACTGGAGACCATCAGGCTATTACCTGATGGCAGGATTAGTATTACACACTTCCTCCTCCTCCTCATCCTCATAGTCATCCTCATCGTCAGAGTATTGCTGATGCTGTGGGACTGGGACTCGGCTTCGGCCCATGCCGGCTGCAAGGTCCTCTTCCTCCTGAAACACAATCATCCAGATGCCTTCAGATAAGATTAGTATCTGAGAAGATCTCTTGTCCTCCAAAGTCCATCTTTAAAAACAAACAAAAGTACACGAAGAAATAACTATTTCTCCTGCTCAAATAATACTTGGGGCTCACCAAAATAGAAGTCTGGATTAGACAAAAAACAACAACATTGCACACTATGGAAATGCCTTCCAGATATGTATGCAGAGATATCCCAAATAGTTTAATCTCTCTTATTTCCTAAGTGGAAAGGGTGTAAAGCAGTGCAGCTTTTTGTACATATCTATAGGGATTCTCAATCATCCAGCTTTTGGGATGAGAAGCGAAATATTTTCAAAGAAAAAAAGATAAGAAAGTCCAGTTGGCTTTTGAAAAGTACCTTTGGGCTTTTTGTAAACTATCCAGGAAGGTTCTTGTTTAATGGACTTTCCAGGGGTCATTTTTATTCAACTTGAGAAGGATTATACATTGAATAGCACAGGGGTCCCCAACCCCCAGTCCGTGGACCAGCACCGGGCCGCAACATGCGAGTAGCCGGTTGGCACAAACATGCAAAGCCCCATCTGCGGGATGCAGGCAGCACGCGAAACCAGGCCCCTTCCGATCCGCAGAAAAACCTCTCTCCACGGAACCGGTCCCTGGTGCTCAAAAGGTTGGGGGCTGCTGGAATAGCATATGCAAAATAGCAGTTATTCCTTCAAGTCCTTTCTTCGCTGGAATAGTGTTCAAATATTAATCCGCATTCATGAAAGAAGCAGAAATGCGGGATGGCTACATTTAATGGCCTTTGCAGGGAAACACAAGATGCACTGGTTTGCAGGGCATACCAAGAATAGTGCTAGTGGGAAGATTCATTTTCTGTTTTATTAAAAAAAAAATGTGTGAGATTTTGAAACAGCTAAATTCCAAACCATCATCAATATCTAGTTCTTTTCATCAGCAGGAGAACTGGGAACATGAGAGTCTGTCAAAGGTTATAGCTCTTTTAATAAAAAATACACTGGAAGACTTAAGTAACTCTTTTACTCCTTAAATCCCCACTATTTGTCAAAAACGCAACACGGAGGTGAAAATTTCACCCCATCAACGCCAGGGGATCTGAGACCCACAACGTTGATGCTTATTGGTTATACTTTTTACACCCTGCTTTACAATGATTTAGTGGACTCTATAAAATCTAGTAAATTCTGATAAACACCTCCAGGAAAAAGACATTAAAAACTCAGAAATGTGTTAAACATTAACAAATGTTAAAATGATGGTAATTTACAAATGGAGACAAGATTTAAAAATGTACAGGCATCGTTAATTAAAAATTCATCAAAGGTAACTATAAATGGTTAACTTTTAATGTTCAGTGTTTTTAATGCTTCAATGTTTTAACATTTTTTATACTGCAGTTTTTATGATGTTGCAAGCCACGCAGAGTCATTTGATAGTGAGGTGGGTGGCATGTAAATTTAACGAACAGACAGACAAACTGGTAGGTTAAGGAGATAGATATTAAAAATATTACATAGTATACGTATTTGACATACAACATACTCCTGGGTTAAAGAAAAAAATGATATCCAGCTATTTAATTATAAAACATCTAAGATAAAAATGGGACAAAATAAGAATTCTTGACAACAAATGCAACAATCTGCTCTGGAAATAGCTAGATAAGCTTAATTTATACAGTTTGTGGCGTATCAAGCAGAGAAGGTAACATTTTGTCCAAAATCCCACCTGCATAGGTGACTTGGCATAGTTGTGGTTATCCAAGAAAGCTGGCAGTCTTTGCATGATAGGGTTGGGGGCTGACAGGGCCCCATTTAGGCTGCTCATGTGTGGTTTACTGTTCAGCTTTGCCTTGCTTGGAGGGCTCTGGGTTGAGACCGGCAGGTCTTGGGCTCTAGAATCCTCAGTACCTTCTGCAAAATGCACACACATTAATTTTCAAGCTGCACATTTTCAAGCAGTATATCTGGGACACTTCCATCTGCACAGAGAACCCTAACCATTTTCTAAATCTCTGTACCTTCACCAAAAGAATAAATGTCTCACTTGGTTACAGCTGCCTGACAATTAGAATCCTGACTGCATTAAGTTCAGACCACAGTGACTCTCTTTGGGAAGTCAAGCTTAGAGTAGATTACACTGACAAAGTTGTTCCTTGATAGTCAACTTTGGGATGCAAAAACCCTGTTCAGAGATCATCACTTGACTCTGGATTTCCCTTACTTCCAAACACACAAGCTAGAGATTGTGAGTTGCTCAAGGGTACTTTAAAATCAGACTCAGGATGCATATTGCTTAAATAAAGCCCTACATTCCTAGTAACTATCTTTATTTTTTAAAAATGCAGTGTTCCGTACCTGCCTGGGAGCTCTCTGGAATTAACTGTGTTCTTCCTGCTTCCAGTGGGGTGGAGCTCTTGCTGTTAGTTGACCTGGGCTCCTCAGAAGCCTGGAGCTCTTGAGATTTCTGGGTGTGTACCAGTTCAGGTTGAGTCACTCGGATGAGCTTATGTAGGAAAAAATGGTAATAAAATTCACAAAAGAATAGAAAAATGAAAACAGTCATGTTTCCTACACATCACTATAGCTGCCAATGATATATATGGGAAAAGATCGCCCTTCCTGCTGAGATTATGATTAAATGTGCCAAATCCTCAGAGGCAAAGAGCAACTTACAGAAACAAAAAAAGTAATAAAACTGTGAAATGCCATTTCTCCACTACCTCACAATATAAAATAATATGACTAGAACACTCCACCAATAAACAGCAATCATAAAAATTAACTGATGGCAAAGAGCCATTTCCAAAGATCCTTCCATAAACCATTGGTGTGTCTGGACCAACAGTAGTTTTCTGGTGATTGTCAAAGGAAGCCCCATGCAGAGTGCAAGTTGTAGGGACATGAGTCACCTTAGCTGGTTCCTTCTACCCCAGAAAGGGTGACAATTGGTGCACTAAAGGTTTTAATTCAATATATTATTTCCAAGCAGTTCTGATTTCAAAGGCAAGTATAAAATAACCCACCCACCCACTTATCATAAGCCTCTTCCATTTCCATGCCCACTCCTAATATGTGGGCTTTTTTCTTGTTATCAATAGGAGGAGCAGCAGCAGAAGCTACACTACGTTACTATGGTGAAAAAAGTATGGTGAAAAAAGATTTTTTTTTAAAGAATCAACTCGATTAACAGACATAGTTTCTGAGCTTCTTCCAAGTTTCCTTCTGGAAAAGCTATTCTGCACTCAGAACTCTGCTCTGCTTGGTGATCCTCGATATTGAACCAATTGTTGTGTCTCTTTCAAAAGCTGGATGTAATAAGAAAAGATATATGACTTTTAATCTTCTCTTTATCTCCTTCTTACCTGCTGCAAAGCTTCCAGTACAGTTTGACGGTTTACCTTCAAGATATGTAGCTTAGATTCATATTTCATTCTCCTGTCGGGTACCACAGCCATCAAGTTAAAGCGGATGTCATGATATGGTTCCCTGTGAGCAATAACCATGGGTGTTAAGCATCCCAACCCTAAGTAATTGTAGTAAAATTTGTTCTTCTGTCACTCTCATGTCAACCTTCGTATCACTGTCTGTGACACATATAAATCCTGTAATATACTTGATTTTCAATTCTTGTGCAAGCACAGCAAAACTTCACAGAAGCTAAAAGAGGAATTCTGTTCAGTAAATATCAAAACACTTACCATATATGCCAGCATATAAGACGACTTTCGCAAGGCTTACAATCGGTGCTGAAGACGGGGGTCGTTTTATACACCGAGTCGTCTTATACGCCGGAAATACTGGTAGTTTCTGGCATATAAGACAACGTTCTAGGCATGCGACTCGGCACCAAAGACGGGGGTCGTCTTATACGCCAGGTCACCTTATGCACCGGCATATACGGTAATCACTTCTCAAGTACCCCTCTCAAATTTTCACATAAACCAAAAATGCATTGTTCATTCACCCTGCTGTAGCAAGTCCAATCCTCTCCATGATAACTCTCCTGGCTTTGTCTGTCCATTCCTCATCTTCTGCCCAGGGCCCTGGAAAAAGGAAATAAGAGAAAAGGCAAATATAGAAACATACAGAGCGAATGTTTCTACTAATAGACCAATCTGTTAAACTGACTTGCAGAATATGTTCTCCCTTGTTATCTGGCTATTGATCTGAGATATGCACTCCTTTAAAGACAATTAATAAAAAAAAATCAAATCCTGAACGTAATTATTTCAAACTAACTGATGGAATGAGTTACCAAAGGGAAAATACATACTCTGTTCTTACATGTTTTTAGTAATAATTCTATTGAAGTTAATCTGCATATAAACCTTTTAGATACTGTTTTCTTTTAAACAATACAAGCCACTTTAGGCTTATCAGAGCAGAAAATTCAAATAAATACATTCAAATTACAAAACAAAATATTAATCTGCATTCCAGCCCCATGCATTCTAATACTGCACACATGGCCAAAAGAACTGTAATCTTTCCACTTTAATGCAAATAAAGCCTAAAATATATTATAGAAAATTACCTGAGAATAAGATAATTGCAATTCACTCTCCTCCATCATCTAAACGATTCCATATCTATTTTCCCAAATCATTATGTTCATCAATTGGGACATTGCTATATTTCAGTTGTGGGCAAAATGTTTCAAAACAAACCACCCTGAATTCAAAATGTCTCATTTTGAATGCAAAATGTCTCATTTTGAATGCAATTTTAGCAACTTCAAAAGTATCGCAAGCTCGAAGCAGCTCCGATATTAAGCACAAAATACTTCTAAGGATCAAATTAGCCTATTTCGTACTCAAACCAACTACCTCATATTCAAAACAGAGTATTTGAAATTCAAACTGTTAAAATCTTCTCACAACCATGTCATATTCTTTGTAACAAACTAATGATGATCCCAATTTGATTCCAGTACACCATGAGAGCCGCAACTTGTAAGCTAAACTTAGCTCCTTGTAAGCTAAACTAAGGCAACAAGATTCCTTACCATGGTCAATGGGGAAAACTTTTAGACCATCCAGTTCAAAGAGCCGTCCTTTAATGGGGACATAGCTGACAAAATGAAAAGCTTCCATGGTCCGCACAGCACTAATTCCATTCTGTTTTTCTGGTAAATGTCGGGGTTCTGGTCTGATTCAAAAAGACAAGAAATCTATGTAGATGTAATTTATATTGCAGAAAACACATATTCTGCCCTCATCCAACTTACCTAGCATGGCTGTTATGGGCCTTGGCCAGTTCTGGGGCATTTCCAATGGCATAACCTTTGCTCTGGAAGGTTGGAAAAAAATAAGATGACAGAAAAGACTCTGTAAGATCACCTATAGCCTTCTTTTTAGCAGACCTAAACAGATGTTCTATTCCAATTGTCTTAATCTATTTTATTGACAGGGAAAAAGAGCCCTCAAATTAATTTGAGTCATATAATTTGGGCATATTAGAGTTGGGCATGAGGACGGCTGTCTCAGGGTTAAGCAAGGATAATATTAAAACAATTTTGCATACCAATTTTGAACCAATTCTCTGCAATGTCATTTATTCCAATATTATGTGTACTTCTCCAAACAACCTAGCAGCCTTATTTCAGAATTCTGAACGTTAATGCATCAAACTCTTCTTTTTCAAGAGCAATACTGACAAAATGAGGTCTACAAAAAGGATTACTTAAAGCCAGTTTTCCCTAATTTGGTACCCTTTCAATGGCTAGAAGATACAAAATTACCACCCAATAAGCAACACATATAACTTATTCTCGCTTCATACCTCTGGACTAAAACCTTTGGTGAATTCTTTCATTCGGCTCAGCGTTGGTCCCAGATCCACACTGTTACAATTCAGGAGTACACTTAACAATGCATGTGTGGCACAAGAATTGGGAATCAGCTACAAAAGAAAATAACATTTAGATGAAATATGAAATTATGGCAATCCAGCAGAATAGCCTATGTAACCATATGTACATTCTTGTTCTCTTGTATATTACAGCAAAGTTGCAGTGCTATGTAGACTAGCATCCTTGTGGTGCGCTCCAGGCAATGTGACTTTGTCACAGTTAACTAGTCCAAACACATTCTGACTTTTGGATCTCACAAGGATACCAACAGCAAGAAGCAGCAGCATGAGTACCAAAAATAAAACAACAATTAATGCTGTATTCTGTTACGCCATGCAAAATAAATACTGCAAAGCCTCCAGTATGTGCTATTTATCAATTTATATAGTATCTATCAACAATTGCACCTTTACATTCAATCCCCCAGTTATAAAGTCTTCCCATTTCAGAGAGCAGGACACTTACGAGCATAAAACAAGCAGTCTAGCAAAATTTCTTTCTTCCGATCAGTTTACCTGGTGAGCAAAAAACATGTTGTTGACAATGTCATCATCAATCACTGAGGTCTCATCTACCAAAGTAGAAACTTTCCGTCGGGACCGACGCTCTTCAATCCATTTGAAAAGGAAGATAAATCCGTAGACAGGTCTGAAAAAAAAACAAGTTTGCAGTATGTAATCCATCACTTTTGAAGGATCACTTGCTATTCACAAACATATTCAATATTCCTCTAGTGAGACATTACTGGGGTAAGCGAACTAATGCATTTAGATAACTGAATTACAACCTCTCTGAGCACAAAGAGTTAGGCCGCGGATAGGAAGGTATTACAGAGGGTAGTGAGCACAGCACAAAACATCGTGGGCTGTTCCCTGACACCACTAGATGACATCGCCAGGGTCCGTTGCCTTGGAAGAGTGAGGAAAACTCTCAGGGACGACTCACACCCTGGTTGGTACCTCTTTACTCTCCTTCCATCGGGTAGGAGATATAGAAGTATAGCCAACTGTACCAACAGGCTGAAGAACAGCTTCTATCCATGGGCTGTCAGGCTCTTGAATGGGAAATAACTTTATGTATGATAGACTCGTGAGGCCAGCGCGTTGTGCAATTAACTCACGTGGTGTAATAGGTTGGTGGGTTTGTTGTCACTGTGAGTTGTGGGGGGGGAGGCACGGAGGGAGGCTCAGCCAATCTCATTGTATACATGTTGTACTTTGATAATAAAGGTTCATTCATTCATTCATTTTCTTTTATTCAACTTAGGCACCACCTAACTCCAGATGACTCTAGGTCAGTGATGGCGAACCTTTTAGAGACCCAGTGCCCAAACTGCAACCCAAAACCAACTTATTTATCATCGGGTGCCGGGTGGGCGTAGCCGCAGTGGTCATGGCAGACTGGTGGGCAGGGCCAGGGTGGCGAGGGCCAGTCCCTCACCATTTCCAGGGCACAGTGCGGGTGCCCACAGAAAGGGCTCTGAGTGCCGCCTCTGGCACGCGTGCCATAGGTTCGCCACCACTGCTCTAGGTGACTAACAATAAAACAAGACAAAATAAGAAATGAAACAGAAAAAAATAATCAGAGAAAATGACTGTTGGTGAATTTGGCCAAAACTCACACATATGGACATACCCAATAGGGGCCCCAATTACTTTAGCCCAAGACCTAGGAGAACAGCTGGGTCTTTTAAGGCTTTCCAGGAAGAGCCACATGGATCTCAGGGTCAACTACATTACAAAGGTCAGGTGCTGAGACAGAAAAGGCATGCTTCCTGGGTCTGATAAATGGCATTGTTTAATCAAAGGGATTCCAAAACACACAAGCCCTGATGTCAGCTTGACAGACAACACAGGAAATAGGCCCTACGCTATATAGGGCTTTATAGGTCATAACTAGCACCTTGGAAGAATTCTGGTGAAAATGAAATCAATGATGAAAGAATATAAAAAGAATCTTATTTTTTTTTGAGAATAATTTCAAAGAAGATGGGAAGTTGCTTTTTTGTTCCTTTTTATTATCTTTTACTTTTATGCTTTCACAATTTCTTTATTTTTCTATTTCTTTTATGTTTTTGTAATGTTTTTAAAAATTGTAAAACCTTCTTTTAATAAAAACTACTTAAAATGAATCACTACCAAATTATTTATAATTAAAGTGCTACTCTATACTGAAGCACAAAGGATTTGAACATTTCTAGATTTATGTGACATCTTCAATAACAACAGGATTGATTTAAGCAATTTAATCTTAAAAATGAAATCCGAATGCAAATTATGTGTGATTCCATTCCACCATTATAACAAATGTTTTAAAACAATTGTTTTATGTTATGTTTTATTATGTTCCTTTTTTGTAATCAGTTCTGCTATGTTATTATACATCGTATTTCAGCCTATTTCCAGAAGATTTCTGACGTTTATTTGACAGAAATGGAACAATTTCCAATACATTCCAATATCATCTTTATCATTATTCATACATTTTGGACTGTGTCATTACTTCAGAAAGATACCTTGCTTTTTTCTAGTCAGTGTAACAGCCAAAATCTTACCCTTGGCATTTGCTCTGTAGATCATAAATTTCTTCAACTTGCACCCCCTTAACACCTATATGAAGATAAACCTTGAGTCAGTATACAAACTGAAAAAGGAAGAACTAATTAATACATTACCATATGATTATACTCACCAAAATCCTCCACTAAGAGTGTGAAGAGCCCTGCAAAAAAAAAAAGGGGGGGGGAATCAGAGGATAGGAGAGGATTAGGTTATTACTTGGAAAATACTAGTCATATTTTACAAAAATAATCAGTCTAATCAATCTAATACAAACACCAAATCCAAAATCAAGATAAAATTCTACAAAACATCTTCATAAAAGCATTTAAATGTGCTCCGATTTACTTCCAACTGCATAACCCAAATAACTATCTGGGATAAAACAACTCAAGAAATATTTTAATTACTGATAAAATGCTAGCTCCCCCCCCCATTTTATCATCTGGTCCTAAAAAGCAAGTAAGTGCAAGACTCCCTTTCTTGTACACAGGATGAGGATTAAAAAGCAGCCTTTTAAATGACAGACCTCAACATATAGCAAGCATATTCTCCACTCGGAGATGTAAACAGTATCTTTCCTACTAGAATTTCCAAAACTAGCCAAAGAAGTGCTATTTCAGTGGGCTGGCCTGTAGAATAGTTTAATATATGAGCTGTTCTGACTCAGAACTTCACTGATACGTTAATTATTTGTATTTATTCTGTTACTGCTTGTTTCTTACTTTTTATCTTTTTGTTATTCATTCAAGAGTCCATATGGAATGGGCTGGATTATAAATATTGTTAAATAAATAAATACTGAATTTCTTTTGTGAACTGCTGTGTAGTGAAGCAAGCACACATCTTATATCATGAGAGATACAAAACTTGTATCACCTAAGTCAGCCTACCAGTAAAAGTAAGGCAACCATTTGGCTGTTCGTATCAGGTGATATGATGAGTTCTGAGCTCAAAAATAACCTAAATGTGCAGGGAAAATGATAGAGAATGATGTATACAGTCTAGAATCAAGAAAGCAGTAATAGTTTCCCATGTAACAGATACTCTCCCTCATCGCCAGCATGTATGATGGGATGGGAGCTTGATTAGAATAAATATAAGGAATCTATCAGATCAAATATATGTATATATCTTCCACACTTGAGGCTTTATTATTAGCACTTTGTAGAGAAGTGTGCAAGGACATTTTCAAAGTGGACAGAAATCAGTCATTTTTAAGAAAATTACATTGATCAGTGCTTTTTAAATTCTTTAGTATGCCCTTATGATTATCTGAATTACTGCTTTGGCAACTCTACTAGTTCCTGGCTTCTTTCTAATTTAATTCTCATGTATACAGATAGTCCTCGACTTACGATAACTGAGCCCCAAATTTCTGTTGCCAAGTGAGATAGTTGTTAAATGAGTTTTGTCCCATTTTATGATCTCTTGCCACAGTCGTTAAGTGCTGATGTTAAGTTAGTAATATGGTTGTCAAATAAATCTGGCTTCCCCAATGACTTTGTTTATCAAAAGATTGCAAAAGATGACCACATGACCCCAGGACATTGTCACTGTCATAAATACATGCCCGTTGCCAAGTAACCAAACTCTGATCATGTGAATGTTGCATAAGTGTGAAAACTGGTCATAAGTCTTTTTCAGTGCCGCTGTAACTTTGAACAGTCACTAAACAAACTGTTCTACCTGTAATTTTTAACCTTCAAAGATCTTCACAATTTAGAATAAGTACTAATAAATCCCTTAATTCTATAAAGTGGAATATGGTTGTGGCCTGGGAGTTGTTGTTTCAGGATGGCTTACCTGGCATCTAAATCATTTTAATTTAGCATCAATTTCATTTTAATTTAAAAAAGCATTTAATGTCATGTCTTTTGGCATGTAACAATTCACAGCTTGAATAATGATTTAGATGCACAACATCATAGCCAAATCTAATATAGAAAAGGAGAATGACCAGAGGCATCAGAGCTGTCTATTTCTATATTATCAATATTGGATTGGCTGGGGGGAAAAAAGGGAATCTGCCACAAAATCCTCACTTTCTGCGCCAATTCAACATAGGTCAGGAAGAAAGTCACTCAAGTGAACCATGTCTAAATTAGCATCCAAATCTGCCTAGCTCAGATGATGGGCCTTATATGATTCTTACATTGAAAAGAAAATAAGAGACTCTGTGTAAGACAATGGAGAAATATAATAAATATTTAAGCTTTGCCAATGCAATATATACTCACATTATGGTATTATTGTTTTTAATAACATAGAACTGTTTCTATGTACAGTAGTGGCTAAAATTGTGGAAACCTTTTGGGAAAAGTGTACAGTAGAAATACCACTTTTGGTTAAGTTTCTACCAATTTTTCTTCTAATTTCTTTATAACTGTAGCCTTGTTCTATTTTACATCACTATACTATTTTACATCACTTTCTGGGCGACCAGTCAACTCTTTGCACCATTACTTTAATTTTATTACGTTTTACAAACTCACTAAATAAAAGAACACAAAAAACCCCAACCAACTTGATAGCGATCACATAACACACTGACAAATCTCCTCCTCTCGGTTTCAATATATGACATCAATAACAGAATCCTGTAATCTGATTGGCTCATTGACAAAACAAGATGACACCTGATTGGCTCTCTAAACACTCATGCTCATTGGCTACAATCAGATGAAGGAAAGCTATTTGATATCAACCTAAGCAAGTTGTGCTTCCTTTTTCTGGTTATTTGGCTATAACTTTTCATAGAATACAGTACAGATAATTGAACAAACTTTGTTGCACTACATTCCTGATTAAATTATCTTTCCATAGATATATAATTTTATCGGACTACTCCCAAAAAAAGTGGTGTTATTAGCCATCAAACCTCAAATATACACTTTTCCCAAAAGGTTTCCACAATTTTGGCCACTACTCTAAAGTGTTTATTTCCAATACAGAGTTGACTAACATTCACCATTTTCAAATAAAAATATCTGCTTTCTAAAAAATTTGAAAATATTTACCTTTGAACTCACTTTCAGAACTATTTTCACTATTGACTATTAAGCATACATCAATTTGTATAAACAGACAAGATGCACACAGGAGATACACAACGAGGATAATGTCAAACGGGTACATATTTCAAACACACAATGCTATCAACTCAACAGTCATTCCTTTGGAAGAGGACGGGGGCGGGGACAAATATCAACCAAACGGTTGGATTCAATGTTTGGCTATAAATTACGGCATATTACATCACCGTCTGGGGGAAGAAGCAAGCCTTCCTACCTTAGTCCATGCACAACCCCAAGCCAGAAACTACAGTTTTCAAACAATAACAGGACGCACCCTCCCCAAAGCATGCAAACCTCACCCTAACTTCGCAGGAAGGCTGCACCCACTCAGGGGCAGGTCAGAGGTCCCCCGGAAGGCTTTTACGGTGCTGCAGGCAGAGCCACACCCGGTCGTCGGTGCCCCACCACCACCACGCCGCCCCTCCCCCGAAAAGCGAGAGGTCATCCTGCCCTCCGGAGCGCAGGCCTCCTCCCCGAACTGGCAGGGGCGCCTTCACTCACCAGGGTCGCTCTCCAGCTCCAGCCAGCCCTTATTCATCTTCCCCTTAGTCAGGCCTCAGCGCCATGACGGGGCCCGGGCGCCCAGGCGGAAACCATACCTCCCGGGTTTCCCCGGGCACATCCGGTCCGCGCTACAGCCCCGCTCCGGCCAGCCGGGAAGAAGGAGTAACCCGAAACATGCAGGACAGAGGCGGCGGGAGGAGGGAGGCCAGGGAGGAGCAGGAGGAGGAGCAGGAAGATGAAGGCATCAGGCTGCGCGCGCAACAAGGCGAGACAAAAGGGGAGGCGCTTCCCAGCAGAAGGCTTTCGGAGAAAACTTTGGCTAGTGCTGCCTCCGGATTGGTGCGGAAAGGGAGAGGGGCGTGATCAGCCGGTTGTGAATGCTAGAGATAGCGCGCGGCGGCAGGGAGGAACGCTTGTAACTTAATTATAGGCTTTTATTGGAGTGACCTTGGTTAGTTACAGCCTGAACTGTACATTTTTTTCTACGGCAAATGCTGGTCTGTTCTTAAACCGTGTTTTAAAGACGTTAAGCATCACCGCAGATTTTGTGGTGTGAGAGCGACAGAGTGGGTTTCTGTTGTTAAAATAAGACTTACTCGTGTCACGGTACCTGGTTTAGCTTACAGAGAAGACCTATGATTTCATAGCTACAATTACTTGTTTACTCCAGTGATATTTAATTTCATAGCAGAAACTTCAGTTAATTGACAGTTGGGACTCCATATTACCAACAATATTTTAGATTGCAATTTGAAATTTCTTTTCTTTAATGGCAATGAAACCCGCAGAGACTTGATTACATGCCACAAACCAAGTTGAGCCTTGCTCAAAACTTTGGCTTAATGTAAACTATATATATAACTTTGGTTGTTCGGGTTAACTTTGGTTGTTCGGGTTTTCTCCCGCGTAAAATTGGAAGTGTCTTGGCGACGTTTCGACGAAACGTCGCCAAGACACTTCCAATTTTACGCGGGAGAAAATCCGAACAACCAAAGACCTACATACAAATACCCGCGAAAACCTCAGTACTCGGGTCTTCAGTCTAAAATTTAATACTTGACAATATGTATGCTTGATGATAATATTTATTTCCTGCATTTATTATTTTTACAGATAACTCAAATGCATAATATTCTTTGAGAAATGTTTTATATTTATGAATGAACTGCAATATTCAAGGGACGCAACAGAAAAATATTTTTGCCAAATTAAAGAAACTATTATAGAATCAGATATTAATCGATAAAGGTTATCAAGCACACATTTTGAACAAGTCTATTGGCCCAGATAATGGATATCGATCTTCAGACTATTGTTTTTACCAATAAAAAACATTGGTAGTTGCCCAAAGTTGGAAGATGGGCTGCTATACAAATGTTTTAAATAAATATTTCCCAACTATGATGCTCAAATTGAGTGAAAGATTACTATGAGTCAGTTGATACAAAATATTGCTTTCTCATATTGCTGCACAACAGAGTGGATGTTGCTATGTTCAGGCATTGGAAAGCTGGTCAAGAAGAGAAGGACAAGGGGGGACATGATAGCAGTGTTCTAATATCTCAGGGGCTGCCACAAAGAAGAGGGAGTCAAGCTATTTTCCAAGGCATCTGAAGGTAGGACAAGAAGCAACGGATGGAAACTAATCAAGGAGAGAAGCAACCTAGAACTAAGGAGAAACTTGCTGACAGTTAGAAAATTACCCAGTGGAACAACCTGCCTCCAGAAGCGGTGAATGCTCCAACACTGGAAGTTTTTAAGAAGAGACTGGACAGCCATTTGTCTGAAATGGTATAGGGTTTCCTGCCTGAGCAGGGGGTTGGACTAGATGACCTCCAAGGTCCCTTCCAACTTTATCATTATGATTATGATGATAATGATGATGATGATTAGAAATGTGATAAATTTTGTATTAAAGGAAAATTTCTCCATAGAACATACTGTAGAATATTTGGAGATGAAATCCCTAGAAAACTTATTTTCTTCCATATTGCTTGTCTTGGGTAAGACTCCAAATTGAACAAGATACAATCTAATGTCAACAGTACATTGGCGAAGGGGCTGCAATTAATAGGTAATGATTTAATTGATTTAGCAATCAGAAGAAAATCATGGATAATTACTATGTCATGGAAACACAAAGTGGTTTTGGGTTAATTACTCTCAGCTTAACCTATCCCATAGAACAGTGATTCTCAACCTTTCTAATGCCGTGACCCCATAATACAGTTCCCCATGTTGTGCTGATCCCCAAGTGGGTGTGGCCACCAATAAGAGGGAGTAGGACAGCTAGGGAAAAGGGAAAAAATGGCGGACAGCATGGTTTGGTGACCCCCGTGAAATGGTCATTTGACCCCAAATGGGGTCCCGACCCATAGGTTGAGAACCACTGCCATAGAAGAATAGTAACTATATTAGGCTGCGCTCCTCAAAGAAAGGCAGGAAACAAATATAACTTATTCCATTTCGCATTGAAAATTTAGGGCAAGTTTTTTCAGTGATGCAAAAATAGTGGACAGAGGAAAAGAATAATTTGATCACTGAGTTGCTAAAAGGAACTCCACAGTTCAGTTTTTACAAAAACATTTTTCATTCTAGAAGACCAAGCAACCCTATATAATGAATATATTTATTCATTATATTTATATGGCCATCTATCTCACAGTCAAGTGACTGGATGGCATGTAACAAAATTAAAAACAGACAAATTAATATTAACTTCACAACTGCAAAAACTCAAAACTAAGAATTAAAAAGATTATGTGAAGAGCAGGTGTTAATTACCACCTGAATATTTCACCAGTTTTCTGAGATCCCCAGGGCCGATGACACAATCAAATCTTGAGTGGCTTGACTGGCTAGAGAGTTGAGTATTGATGGATCACTGCTGGAATGGTTATACTCTACAGTGGGTGATATTAAGACAATGGGCTGGGTGGAATGGCTCCCCAGCTATTATATGAAACAGTGTTAGAACTGTAGCCATTTCATAGAATTTGTGCATATACACACACAAACGTTCCCCATTCTATATCAACTACTAGACAAAGAACCATAGCTATTCAGGAGGCTGGCATTTTCTATCCTAACTATAAGGTGACCAACTTTTTCAGAATACACTATAATATGATAAATGCATAATAAAAAACATTTGTAGCAATAATATTTTATATTGTAATTATGCTTACATGCTGTGCCCCCACCCCAGCCTCCCCACCAGCACTGCTGCCCCACTGTGTAGAGCGGGCCTTGCTGCTCCCAAAGCATCAGGTGTGCCGGCTCCGGCCCTGAGGGGCAGCCCGCCATCAACACACCCCGCCTGCAGCTGCTCCGCCAGCACCATCACCCACCCTGCGCAGCCCTGTGTAGAGCAGGCCCCGCGGCTCCCACAGCATGGGGGGCAGCTGGCCACTGCCGCCCCTCACACCTCCGGCCACAACAGCCCTGCCGCTCCTGCCTCTTGTGCCCACAGCCATTATTGCTCTAGCAGGGCCAAAGATCAAGAGAAAGTTACCATGGCGTCATTGCTCCAGTCTCCTCCAGGTATCTTCGGGACTAAATAGGAGATGGTGTAGCTGGGTAGCAGGGAGGGGTGCAAAGTTCCTGCCAATTCGCCTTCGCTGCAGACAACTTACATGTGCAAAGTTGCTGGCCGAGTGTTTTGGCGCGCTCAGCAGCAATTCCTATTGGCTTTCAAAAGCCAATAGGGGGAGTAGCACAGCTCATGCAAAAGTTGAAAAAAAACCATCAAAAAAAGATGCCAGAATGCCGTTCTGAATGTTCTATGAGAAAAAAAAAGCCCTGCAGATTAGTCTTCAAATATTGAAAAGGAGGACATGTAGGAGGGCACTTTTTGAGGGAGGACAGAACTCACAAAAGGAGGACTGTCCTTCCTAAAGGAGGACAGTTGGTCACCTTACTATCAAGTCTGAAAGAAAGAAATTTGACTTTGATGCATGCAGCATGTCCATCCTATAGTAGACTGAATTATTTGGGGATGATCAAGACATTGTCATACCAAGATTGGGGAAGAATTGTGGTGGGGGATGTATGTAGAACTGGCATGAAAACAAGAAAAGCGAGAAAATAAAGGTCAGAAATACTGTGGGAAGGATATTGGTCTTTTCACTCATGGCTGACTTTTTAAACATCCATAAATACATATAAGCTAGTTGGACACAATATGTTTATGCAGGATCTACTAGTTTTCTCTTTAGGATCCTTAGAAACCATAACATCACATCACATAGGATCTAAGAAATGAACAGAATACCTTGGTTTTAAGGCAATATTACATTGTTTCAAATATAGGACTCTCCTAATGTCATACATTTTCTCAAGTGTTGAATTTTAAGTGTACAATTCACCGATCATTTTTAATTCTAAGTTACAATTCACAGCTGCCTAAGTACTGGGGAAAGGAGTGATAAAGCTGGGAAGAATCACTTCCACAAGTACTCCTCTATTTTGCCCTTTCTAAATGGAGATAGTCAGTGCTTTTTTTCTAAAAAAAAAAAAAAAAAGTGCTGGAACTCACACATGTCATACAACCCTCCTTGCCTACCCTACAAGGTTCCATCCCAAAAAGGTGTCGGAACTCCGTTCTGGGCGTTCTATGAGAAAAAAAGCCCTGGAGATAGTCAGTACATTATTTCCACCTATTCTGCCACCCTACTCATACAAAAATGTGTGCAGCATGCAGGTGCATGTGCACAGCTTCGAACCATCTCCTCCCCCCACCTTGCTGGTCCACAAAGCTGGAAAGGTTGGGGACTGATTCTAGTTAACTGTAGAGGGATCAAGATGGATGAATTTAACTCTTTGGGTCTTACTTTTCTCTCTGTGTTGTCTTTGATACTATGAATCATACTAAATTTCTGGATTTTCTCTGAGGGATTGAGAATTGAGGGACAGCAGTTTTCAATGATTCTCCTCCTCCTCCTTCCAGGGTTGGTCCTAGTTGCTAGTAGTGGGGGAAGAAAGGTTGATTTTTTTTCTGCTAGTGTTTACTTTCTGCCTGAAATCCCTGAACAAAATTATTCAGAGACACAGTGTCAAGTATCATCAATAAGCTAATGAAACTCAGCTGTACAGCCTTATGGGCGGAATAGGATATGTGGTCAAAGTACTGTCTGAGTGCCAAGAGGCATTTAGTATTTGGATGGGGAAGAACAGGCTCATGCTTAATTCCAACATCACTGAGTAGCTTTATGTTTTTCCAGGTATATTTCACTGTTGGTTCTGAACAGGACCATATCCACTTGTT